CTGCCAAAAATGGGAGCTTCCTTCGAAGCTGCTACAGTGCACAAGGCCATCATCTCATGTGCTTCGTTCCTTCATCTTCTTCAATGGATATCGTGGGGAATGATATATTTGATTTTAGTGATGGGTTGCTTTTGGATAGCTTGACATGGGGAGACCATGATGACAAGGTTGATGACGAAGGTGCAGTGGTGACATAGGTAATATACCATCCCGGAAAGAAGAGGACGAAGGTCTGATCATTGAAGTCTTGAAAGACTTGAGATGGTCTTTTTTCCTCATTTGTTGATATTGTTTTCGTCCAACTCCACATGAAAAGGGGTTGTCTGTCTGACAGATAAATGTGAAGTGCAGCGCCTGTCTAGCTGAACATGGTTTCATAAGTGGTAGTGTCTTACATAAGATGTCTGTCTGAACAGACAAATTTATTTGTTTGAGTACATTAAACAACTGTTTGTATGCACATCTTCTTATTGTACAAATGTATTTTATAGTACGTTTGATGACTTGAGCAAATATTCTTTTCTTGATTTTTTTTCTTGATTTTTTGGTGTGTTTTCAAAATGAAAAGGATTGTGTGTCTGACATACCACTTGTAATTGCAGTGTATGTATACTCCGGATTTGTAATTGGTATTTAATTGCATGTCATTTGCTTTTTATTTTTCTGATTTGTTTTGAGTTGTCTGTAATGTGTCATGTTGTTGTGAGAAGTCTATAAGAGTCGTGAAGTTGTCTCTCATTTTAAGTGTTCTAAATGTCTGTTAATATTTTTTTGCATTACATGTATTGTCTGTGTTAAGTGTTCTAAATGTCTGTTTGTGCTTTATTTCCCGTATTAACGCAATGTGTGAATGATGAGGGATTGGATTGAAACATTAGTTGGTTGTGAATTACTATTGTTGGCATTAAGTATACACATGCAGACAATAAGTATACACATACGAACATTACTTTATTGTGAATTACCATTTTAGCATATGTTTCATAAAAACGACAGACAATACATATATCTAGACAGACAATAGAGATATCCAAACATGCATTATTTTTATAGACTTATAAACTTTAACCAATCTACTTCCAAAGACAACTGCGAAGACAACTAATTACATCTCAAAAACCACACTCCACAAATTACATACAACTCACAATCAAGTGACAAACAACTAAATATGAGTTACAGGCATGTATTTTTAAAACGACAGACAACTTCACAACTCTTACAGACTCCTCACAGAAAATGACAGACAAGTGACTACAGCCAACTAACAAGCAAATGAAAAACAATTAAATATCAATTACAGACATATATTTTTCAAATGACAGATAACTTCACGAGTCTTACTAACAAATACAGACACTGCACTTACAAGTTGTCTGTCAGACAGACAACCCTTTTTATTTTGAAAACACACAAAAAACAAGAAAACAAAATCAAGAAAAGAAGATCCGCTCAAGTCATTCAAAGCTTCTTAGTCTGCACCTTCGTCGTTGTCTTCCCTTGAGGTTGCATCAAAACGGCAACCGACGTAGGCCCGTCGTCGGCAACGTCACCGAGCTCTTCCCATGTCAAGCTATTCAACGTCACTGAGCTCCTGAATTTGGGATACCTTTAGCATTTTACAATAACTAAATGGAAAAGGAAATTTTCAGAAAAAGTATTTGACAATACACAATAAATTAAAAAGAGGTCATTACAACTTTACAAGAATGTCGAACGTAGTACACATCTAAGAAACAATTCACCTGCAATAGAATGTTTACAATTCAATTTAACCATTATAAAACTAAAAGGAGCAATAATTTATTTGGTACAGAATATATCAAAATGAAATTTCCCAAATAGTCCAGGAGTAAAAATGATGATGTTATGATTGAGTCGTGAACCTTAATAGATGCTAATTAAAACATACTACGTATTTCTCAAGTATTTTAATTTTCAACCTGTCCCATATTGATAATGAACTGAAATTCCGTTTGTTGATTGTAGATACACTAAAAACTTAAAAATACAGAACAAATATCGACATTTAAATGCAAAAATATCCATGGATATTGGCGATTGAAAAGTACAAAATAACACCTTAAGTCTTAACATACCTAGAATTCTGATTGACATAGAAGAAATATGTTGGAAATATGATGGAAAAAATATATATATTATAGGGGATTCATTTATGAGTCCTAAGGATAAATGTATCAAATATGATTTGGAAATAATATATTATACATCAAAGTACAACTTTTACTGATTGGATTATAACTAACAAAATAATCCATAGTTGTAAAGGCGGTAAAGTGATGTATTAACATGATGAAATTTTGTCACCTATAAAATAAAAGCTCCCATAACAAATTATTTTATCTGATAAGGAACATTGTTCAAGTATCATTTAAAATAACTTGAGTTGAGGGATCGCTTGCGTTTTGACAAAAATTGAGACTGGCTGAATCCGGACAGTTTTATTTTTTTAAATAATAAAATAAAACATATGTGGCAGCAAAGGTATTCAATTTTGAATTCAAAATTGAAATGAGCTACTTGGTCCAACCGTTATATCCATAATGGTACTTAATGTTTTGGAATTTGGATTAGCATTAAAGTCAAGTTTCCGTTTCATGTATTTGATGAACAACAAATTCTGATTTCCGTTGAAGCAATCCCCGTATGGCTGCCACTTTAATGTTTAAAATATACTCTATGTATATAAAATGTGTGGCTAGTCAATTTCTCTCCGGCTTGGTCCAAGAACTATTCATACGGAGAAAAGAAAAACAAGTCCCCCTCTTATTCTATCTTACCAACAAATCATTTCCTTCTTGATCAATTTGCCTTGCATGCTTTTCATCCGTATTTCTTTTTACTCTCTAAAAGGAATACATAATATCGGTTCAAGTTAACTCTATCAATCGGCAATATTTGGCAATGGTCGAAGGTTTCAGTCAAGGTAGCTACGAGTCTGAAACGCGGTAGGATTATCCTGGGAGCGAGCTAGCCAGACCCGTCCGAATAGCTATCGGGATACGGGGGCTATCTTTCTTCAAGGCCAGTCCGTATTAACGGGCGATCCTGCGATAAGTTTTCTTATCTTTTCTGTTTTTCATTTTTGATTTATTCTAATTATTATTTTCTTTTCTTGCATTTGGCGGTCTGTCTGGTGATTTTTTAAACTCGGGATTTTTATCTGGTTAAACTCGCATTATAATATCATAAATTCTAACAAAATATTGGGTATATTTGCAAATATCATGATATTTTAGTGGAAAGTTTACCGGACAAGGAGGAGAAAACCGAGAAAAAAGATATTTTCCCACAGCATCATTTATATGCTTTTTCCTAAATAGAACTCAAGTATTGTCTTTAAAAGATACAAAATACTTTCATATGTGGCCTTGTCCATCAGACATTAAGAAGATTGTTACCTTGTACTACCTCCGTCCTAAAAAACTTTGTCATTTCATAAAATTTGAATCGTGATTTTGATTAGTATAATATTATGGAAATTATAAATTTATACTTTTATAAAAGAGCTTTTAACAAAGAACATTTTCATATAATTTGTATATTATAAATAATTTCCAATAAAAAGATATAGGTTGTCAAAGTTTTGAAACTGACAAAGTTTTTTGGGATGAAGGTAGTATAATATAAATGAACTATTCATCTTTGTGGAGTTGCTGCTATTTTGGGAAAATTCTCGAATGGGAGTAAAAATGTTCGAAAATTTCAAAATAGGACTGCAATGTTTTTATTCCCAAAATATGAGTAATTATCGTCAAGTTTGGAAAATACTGTCATGTTTAAAGTCTGATACTGTCAAAATATGACAGTAATTAGTCATGTTTTGGAACAGAAACATGATACTTCTATTTTGGAATATATAAAATTTTAGTCTTATTTAGGGTAATTTCCCTACCATTTTAGATCCTAGGAATAAGTTAGAATGCATGGAATTTTATTTTGATGAGATATATATATATGGTGATAAAGCCCATGATGAAGTTGAGAAAATTAAGAGTTTGTTACACTCTGTTTTGCTTCAATATCAAAAGAAATCTGAGAAAGATGATTTTGTATCTTCTACTTTTATTCTTGGAATGCGTTGCAGTGATGAACTTGATAATTGTGATTAGGATGATAAATGGACACAAATTAAGAGGACTAAAAAGAAAAAAGTTAATGTGAGGTGTGAGTTAGATCATTATCTTGAGGGTGATGCCTTTCTTGTGACTCATCGGGATTGTCAGGTGGATGTGGCGGTTGCAGGGTAGGGTGGGGTAATGGGGAGGCTAGGGAGGGGTTAGGAGGCTCGGTAGGGGATTTAGGGATGTGGAGAGGGGTATGTTGGAATAAATCTTATAGTACTTTAATCTTCATATCGAAATTATCTGGAGAAATAACTGAGCATAAGCATACCTGACCCCATAAAGATGATCTTTACAGATATGAGAGACGGAGGCTAGGGTTTGAATGTTCTAGTTTAACACACGTTCGGGATTCTCTCTCTAGCGATGAGATACTGAAAGACGTAAAAAAGTGTTCAACTAGGGACCATAACCCCTTTATTTGTACAAAGTGCTTAATCCTAATGAGCCCATCATTAATTAGGATAAGCTAATGGGTCTATACAAGTTTGAGTCATGTACCTTATAAGAAAACATATTATCCTACTTAAATTAATATCCATAAGACCACTAATTTTTTGGCCTAAACATAAGATATCATATAACAAACAATTAAACCCAATAGATAATATATTTTGAATATTACATGTAGTATGAGTACGTCCATTAATCCAACAACCTCCCACTTAAACGACATACACATGTATAGACACAATCCTTAGTATTGTATTTTTACTTTAGGAACATCAAAGCTTTGCTATCAAATTATAGTAATCTTTAATCAATCCGGTCCATTAATATATCAACATAGGACCAATAAAGTCTTTGCTATATTTGCATAACTAGACCCATCAATGATATGATCACACATATTAATACAATAAACGACATGGATCAAATATATATGTTTAGCGTGGAAATAACTTGAGGTGTGTTATGGAATAAAATGTCTATTTCCAACTAGTCCACCTTGATCAATAATACAATTGTAAGAGTACATAAAATGTAAACTTTATTTTTGCATAAAATTAAAACAACCTTAAAACTGAATTAATCAAACATAGAAACACTACAAACTCCCACTAAAACTCATTTGACACCCATTTGAGCAATATGCTCATGAAGCACTTTGGGTGACAGTTCTTTAGTAAGCGGATCCACAATCATGAAATTTGTGCTAATAAGTTCTATAGATAATTTTCCTTCTTATACTTGATCTTTAACAACTTTAAATTTGACCTCAATGTGTTTTGCTTTGGTTAAATTGCTATTATTCTTATCATAGAGGACTGTTGACCTATTGTCACACAATAGCTAACGAATTAAGTGATCTTTCAATGATGTCCACTATGTGCAATCCACTAACAAAATCTCTCAATCTTAATGTCTGATTGAATCCCTCATAACATGTTATAAACTCTTCTTCCATGGTAGAAGTAGTTGTAAGAGTATGCTTGATACTCCTTCAGGAGACAGCTCCTCCACCAAGAATATAGATGCAGCCTGAAGTAGATTTAAAGCTATCTTGACATCCAGCAAAATCAGAGTCAGTATACCCAATGATATCAAGCTGATACGATCTCTGATATGTGAGCATATGTTCCTTTGTTCTCTGTAAATACTGCATGACCCTCTTGGCTGCTTTCCAATGGTCCATACTCGGATTGCTCAAATATCTGCATAATATCCCAATGATGTATGCTAAATCAGGTCTTGTACAAACGTGGTCATGCATCAAACTTCCTACAGTCGAAGCATAAAGAATGTTCCTCATTTCTTTAGATTCAAAATCATTCTTTGGGCCCTGAATGAGACTAAACTTGTCTCCCTTATAAACTGGAGTATCTCCAGATTTGCAGTCTTGCATGCCAAACCTTTTGAGAACCTTTTCGATATAGCTCTTTTATGAGAGTCCAAGAATGCCTTTGGAGCGATCTCAATGTATTTGAATTCCTAATACAAAAGAGGCCTTATCAAGATCTTGTATTTAAAATTTCTTTAAAGAAATCTCTTAGTTTCATGCAATAAGCTTATATCGTTGCTAGCAAGCAGTATATCATCAGCATACAATATAAGTAAAATATGTTTACTCCCACTCAACTTGTGGTATATACAATATCACTTGCATTTGGTTGAAAATCAAAAGATATAATGACTTTATGAAACATGTGATACTACTGATGAGAGACCTGCTTGAGCCCATAAATGGATTTCTTTAATCTGCAAACCATTTTGTTTGAATCTTTCGAAACAAAGTTTTCTAGTTGCTGCATATAGATTGATTCCTCAATGTCTCCATTGATAAATACCATTTTTACATCCATATGATGAAGCTCAAGATCAAAATGTGTCACTAATACCATTATTGTTTTACAAGAATTTTTCAAAGATACCAGAGAGAAAGACTCTTTACAGTCAATTCATTTCTTTTGAGTGTAGTCTTTAGCAACAACACGAGCTTTAAACCTTTTGGGTTAATTTTCTTAATATATGAGTTAATTAATTTCAACAAGAGAGACTACTCTTAAATCAATTAGACATATATGCTAATACTAAATCAAAAAATAAAATTGGGAAAATTTTCTGAGTCACATGTAAATATGTTATGTATAACGATAATTTGTAATTCTCAATCGCTACGCGATCACAAAACATGGTTTATACATCCAAAATACATAATACACATTTTCAAGCTGCAAAACACTACAACAAAAACAATGTATTCTAATAATATAAAAAAATATGTAATTCTGATAAGACAGATGTTGGCCGTAATTACATATAAGTATTTAATTACCAAAACCGATAATAATAACATATATGTACTTAATCAATCACCGAAGCTATAGAGGCAGGGGCGGACCCACACTAGGGCTAGGGGGTGCCCGTGCCCCTGCGGTGATATATATATATATATATATATATATATATATATATATATATATATATATATATATATTGAAAAATTCTCAGGTCCAGCACCTCCCGGTCCGAATGCCGTCCGAACATCTCCGTTTGGGGCGGTTCCAGGTGGAATTTTTTGATGAAATGTTTTGAGCATGTTCCTCATCAAGTCTAGTTTATCCATACCGAATTTCAGGTCAAAATTCGACCGGGAAGGCAGTCACATAATTCGTTGAAGTTAACTGCGTTTTTCTATGTATAATTTAGCGCAGTTAACTTCAACGAATTATTTGACTGTCTCCCCGATCGAATTTTGAACTGAAGTTTGGTATGGATAAACTAGACTTGATGAGGAACATGCTAAAAAATTGTCATCAAAATATTCCGCCGGGAACCGCCCCAAACGTCAGTGTTCGGACGACGTTCGGACAGAAAAGTGCTGGACAGAAAAGTTATGCCGATTGAGACTTATGATGTTAATATTAGAGATGAGTTGAGGACACGTTATTTGAGAAAAGGTCCTTGCCAACCGCGTGACTTTAAATTTCCACAAAGTGATTTTAATGGGCGCAACAGATCATTCCAAAAACAGTGGTTTTATTTAAATTTTATAGTTTTGTTTATTGCTATACTCGTGATGCATATGATTTTTTTCTAGACTAGTATATCATTTCTTTGTTATTGTGCCCCTGCGAGTCACGAATCCTGGTTCCGCCACTGTATAGAGGTGATAAATATATGTTTATCATGTATTAGATAATTAAACGTTTGATTACTACTTAGATCCTTTTCTGTTTTTAACCCACGAATCAAAAGTTTGAATAATCTTTAATTGCCCTATAGCCACACGCATTAACAATGCTAATGATAAGAAATATTTATTAAAGTCAACAAGGTGCTGATCAATACATGCTTATGTAATTCCAAAGCAGATTGAATCACCTTCTGGGATGGAGCTAGAGGAGAGCCAATCTAGGCCCGGCCTGACTCACACCAAATTAAAAAAATACTTTTGTTTTTAATGTAAAAAATTCATTTAAATGTTTTTCTAAGAATATTTTTTGTACCGACTCAGTCCGACACAGTGCTCTGCTCCGTCGTTGATCACCTCCTCGTGACTGAAAATCTGGAAGCATATAATAAACAAATACGAAGTACTAAACTATAAAATTCCAAAACGTACGTGGCTAGTTCCTTACTAAAAATGGAAACTGAATTTGTGAATCGCTTTGAATCACCTCAGCCACACCCAAAAAAGTAATCCAATATCACCTATTAGTCTATTAGCGATTGATAAAAAAAACAGCAATCAAACATAATAGCGATTAACAAAAATGTTTATTCCATTTATTCCATATCTAATCGGTAATCGCAATTGCGAAAATCTTGACTAAAACATAAAATTAAAGCAACATCCCAAATTCAACCAATCGGCACATTTGTTAAAGTATTTGCCAAAAAATTCACTTTTTTGCCATTTTTTTTGCAAAAAATGATTCTTTTGTTTCAATAGTAGGGCTTTATGTTGTGATATAACTCATGTTATGGAAATTGTAACTCGTGTTGATGGAAAATCAAAGTTAAGTGTATGCAAAATGTAACTTGTTGAGCCAAAATCAAATGTAACTCATTCACAAGTAACATAACTCGCACATAAGAAGATGTAACTCCATACACAATCAAATGTAACTCCATATAATATCTACAAACATAACTGACACATACGAAAAATGAAATCTCATGTTTTATCAAATTCAAACCGTAATGAACAAACTTAATATCTTCAAATCACTAAAACATATAAAAGAGATAAAAAAAAAATTTATAGAAAAAGTGTATGAATATGAAAAATATTTTACAGAAAAAAGTGTATAAATGTAATAAAAATACACGAAAATAAATTTGGTAGTAATTTAAGATGAAGAAAAAAGTAAAAAAAAATGTGTATGATTATGAAAAAAAAAATATATGAGTAAAGAAAGAAGTTAATTCAGTTGTAATTTAATTAGTTAAAGATAAAGATAAGTAAAAATAACAAATAACTAGATGTAACTTACGCATAATTAGATGTAACCCACACATAAAATAGATGTAACTCACGCATAAATAGATGTAACTCCATGTATTATCAAAAATTCAAATATAACTCAAGGAATCATGTATAAATGTAATTCATGCATATATGAAATATGTAAATCAGACACATGAAAATGTAATCGCCGGTTTTATGAAATGTTAATGTAAATAAACATACTCAATGTCTTTTTTTAAAAAAGCCAAATTAAACTCGATGTATTTAACACACTAAAAACATATAAAAGAAATAAAAATGTATATTGTAGAAAAGAATGATCGTGATCATGTTTTTAATATTTTAATAAAGAAGATTAAATAATTGAAGGAGAATAGAAAAGAAAAAGAAGATAGAAAATCGGGAAGAATGGCTAGAAAATGAAGGGAAGCAGGGAAAGGTAGTGGAAGTTTCTTATTCGTGATTTCAGTATTGGAATCATGATTTCAAATTCTTCGTAAATTACTAAATTGTAATAAAAAATACACCGTTCTTATGCGTCAACGGGAAATTAAAGGAAGCGGTGTGTGGGAATGGCAACGGGAAAAAAAAGTGCAGTGGGGAAGAATAACGCCCGACTATTGGTGAAAAGAAATTTGACTTGTTTTTAATTACTAAAATGGGACCGGTATACCATGCGCATGGTATACCGATCCCACAATATAATTTGCGATGGAAAGAAGAACACATATGCTTCATTAAGGGTAAAATAGTATTTTAATGAGTTATTTCTTTTCTTATATAAATAGATTGGTACATCTTGAAAGTTATACTCCTACTTAACACCATTTCTCTTATTTTAACATCAATGATTTTTCTTTTGTCAAAATAAGTAGTGAAATAATCTCCAAATGTTAATTTATATAGATGAATTGGAAAAATCCCAAAAAAGCAGAGCATATAGATGAATAAGTTGGAGAGCAGAGCATACGAGCAGCATTTAGGGATATTTTGTCTCTTCATTTTAAAATTAGTCCTACTTATTAGTTATTAGTTACTCCGTATATAAAAGCAATTAGTCCTGTTTAAGTTCATAGGCTATGTTTTAGTCCGAGTCTTTTTCCCTTCCCACAATTAAAGCTTCTGGGGATACGCAACGTTCGATTCGAACCATTTCAATTAAAATTAGTTGTCTGATAACGTATTTCTCCATATCGACGCAGACTTTCTACGCTGAGTGACTATAGGAACGAGTCAAGGACTAAGCAAAATCCATTCAATGGATTATCAGAAGTCAAAATTTACATGGAGGATTGAGAACTTCTCTCAATTGGATGCTAAAATGATTTACTCTATGACGTTTGTTGTAAATGAGTACGAATGGTATGCTCCCAGTTCAAAATTTGAGGGAAACGTTATTCAGATTTGCAATCTTTGTGTTCAGATGAGCTTTAGTTTTCTTGTGTTCACAGGAAGTTATGTGTTTTTCCAAAAGGAATCCAAACTGATCATTTGTCAATGTTCCTCGTTTTGGCTAATCAGGGTAGCTTACCCGACGGGTTGAATATAAAAACAGAGTTCAGTCTAGCTCTTATTAACCAGAAAGACAGCAACCAAACTATCAAGAAAGGTATTTCTGTTATGTTGTGAAATTGGCAAGTTTTTGTGTCTTTGTTCAATGCTCTCTTTTATTTTATGGTTCCAGGTACCTAATCTTTATGTTCCCATTACCATTGTCGTCTATGACCCTTTCTGTATGCGAAGTTTGATCACAGTTAAATCGTGTTTGTATGAAGAAATGCAAAAGAAAAAAACTACTATATTAAATTGTTAACATCCAATGTCTGCATATAGATATTGGTTTGAACGCTCATCTGTGCACGCGTTCTTGTTTGTCAAATTTGGTCTTTTCACACAAACATTTTTATTTGTTGCCTCACAGATTTTGAACAACTTTGTGCACCTTTGCTTCCATGAACAACAACCTTTTTGAGATTGCCATAATCATCGCGGGACTTTTTTAAACATTATGCAGATAAGGTACCTGGTAAATTCATAACGCTCAACAAGTTTTATGATCAAAGTGAAGGTTACCTGGTTGACGACACATGCTTGGTTGAAGCTGAACTTTCTATCCTACCTGATGCTTCTTCAGATTCCTACGATAATGTAAGTTGATACTTGACTGAAGTTGAAGTATTCATACATAATATATCTAGGTAGGAGTTAACTTAGGAAATTCATTATCTCAATCCCATTATTTTCTTCCCAAAATAGAACTCATGCATTCATACATAGGGAAATTTTTATTTTTTTATTCTTTTAATGTGAATAAGTAAATCTCAGTTTGGGCACAATACATATGTAGTCCTACTTTAAAACTTTGCCTACGTTTTACTACTACTTTGAGCATTTTCTTTACATGGATATTGGTTGACTGTTTTCTGCTTATCTGTTTGTAAATGACTTTTTTCTCCTATGTGCATGTGATCAGGGTTTAGATTCTTCTGCTATTGTCGATGATCCTTCTGAATCTGTGTATGTCGAGGCCCAATTGTTTCTTGAGTCCATACCCAAGAAACCTTGTAACGGCTGTTCCGAATCTAAAGCCCCAACATGTGAAATGGCCTTGCTTGAAGGGCATACATCTTCTGTAATAGAAACACTTGACATGCTGATATCATACCCTTTTGACGCATTGGCTAATCCCAGATATGAAACAAAAATCTTGGAGTCTTTGTCTGCACTAAGTGACCACCTATATATGTTTAGTGATGCACGGGCCAAAGAAATTATGAACTTGAAAACTACTTTTCCTCAGATAATAGAGGAATGGAGAGATTCTGTACAGGGTCAGGGGAGAAGCAAGCATCCTTGGTCTTGTTTTGAGAAGACCCTAAATTTGCTTGAAGACTTGGGGAGAAGGAGGAATCAAATAAACGCTAAGCTGCAGGAGTTAAACATTAAAGAAATGGAATTGAAAAATAAGTTGGAGGTCATTGAAAGTAGTATTCAACAACTCATGGAGGAACGTGAAGAATTATCGAAACAGACGAAGGCAGTTTGTTCACTTGCAGAGGAGCAGGTTAGCAACATTGAAGGAGAAGAGGTGGAGTTGGTTGGCAATTTGGACTGCAAGTCAAAATTAAAGTGGAGTGCAACCAGAGTTCTCTTTTGTTGAGAATTCTGGTCCGGGCTGTGTCTAGTGACATACATCTTGTTAGCAATTTGCTTTTATGTTGTGTCAAAAGCTCGTTTTGGACATTCATTTGGTAACACTCTATAAAATGAGTTTATTAAACGCTCTTAGAATGGTGTTTTGCCTGTGGCTTTTGAACATTAACTTCTGAAAATTGTTTTTATTTCCATTTTGTTGAGGCTAGACAAAAATTCTTTCCTTCACCTGAAAAGTAAAAGGCTGATTTTACCTATTTACCCTTGGTTATCACTTATCATCTCAAATATTTTCATCAATTGTTCTGGTTTTTCTTTTGCTTTTTATGAAGCATATATCAAACTTATATCAATTCAAATAAGATGTATATCTGAGTGGAACGACAAATTAAATCCACAAATGTAAAACATGACCAACTATTACATATAAAGGTGATCACTTTAACAAGAGCAATTCGAATAATTGATCATAATTAAGAGTTCGAGTTATCTTTACTATTAAAACCATGATACAACCCACCAAATAAAACTAACTGAAACTACATAAAAACTAAGCAAATAACCTAATGAAATAAAAAGTTTAAACAAATTAAGAAAAAATAGCTGGTCATATTCATACAACTCATCTTTGATATAACTTGATCCAACAAACAAGTAGTGATCATACTCGACCAAACATCCATCACTGGATCGTTATCTTTGATAAAAGAACAATAATCAATCACCCGTTTACAAAGAATGACAGTGGTTCAAGAAAGAGCTAGGTTGTGACAAATTTGTCATGCCCGATAACGTATTCATCATTTATGAATACGTTATCAATCAATTGTCACAAAATCTGAAGAAAATCAAGCGTAGTTCAACTAGTAACTTAAAGAGATATTACTCAAAATAGAACTAAAACAGTTTGAAAATTTCAAAATAGGACTGTCAAATTTTTATTTCCAAAATAGGACTAAATACTGCCATGTTTTGGCAGTACCAGACTTCAAACATGATAGTATTTTCTAAACATGACAGTAATTAGTCCTATTTTGGGAATAAAAAACATGACAGCCCTATTTTGGAATTTTGAAACTGTTTTAGTCCTATTTCGAGAACTTTCCCTAACTTAAATCAAGAATGGATATGGATAATCTGTTTGGGCTAATGGGCTTACCACCAGAAAGGGTGCCTAACGGATTTGTTTTTGTGCTCGTCCCAAAGGTCTGCTCTTACCCTTCCTACTGTTGGATTTGCGCAAGGCACTCTATCGTGTGGCCGAGGATCCATTTCCATCATGAACTCTCGTTGGAGTGAACAAATTTGACTCCAAAAGTAACAAATGTTGACTCATGATGGAAGGAGTATTATATTGAAGATTTTGGACTTGAATATAAGAATATGGAGTAATTTTTTTGGATATACTTCCTGTTTTCTCATAATAATATCTGGAGTAATTAATTGATAACACTAAGCAATCTAAACTTGGTCAAGTTCAAAATTTCGATATACCTCAAAACTAAAACGTCTGTTCAATAGAGCCAAGTCATCCAACGACGGAACAAAGTCAAGACTCTGTTCGCAAAGCTTCTTGGATTCTACAATGGTTCAAACCTTCAATTCAGACCTTGCTCAAATAAATCACTTGCATTATGAGAACTTCTTCACCTCTGCCCCGACTTTCTTCCCTGCTATTCGACTGCAAACTAGGGCGTTTGCCCGCTTTTTCTGCGATCTCTCTGGGTTCTTCAGCACTACACTTTTCCTTCCTCCTCAAGATAATGTTTGCTAATCTTCACCAATTCCATATTTGCAGCAGTAAGTCAATGTCATTTCATTCCTGAATCATCCCCAATTCACCATTGAGACCTCCAGTAAAAAGTGGTAAATTTATTTGAATCGAGCCGTCTTGGATTAATAAAAGTAGTAAATGTGTGTGTGGATGGAGAATTACCAAGACGGAATTATAAATACATTTATGGGAAGAAAACATTGACAATTTCAGAATATATGACTACTACTTTTGTACATCCCAAAATATGATTAAATATTAGTTTTATACATACGAAACACTATCATATTGGGAAGAAAAAAGATAGAAGTCATATTTTGGGAAACACATTAAATTTTAGTCATATGTGGGTTAACTTTCTCTACATTTATTTTGTAAAAAGATCTAATCTGGGGAACCTCTCCAGGAATGGGTGGTTGGAATTTAGGTGAAAACATACCCTTAGTATAGAAGTAAGGACATTTTCACTTGGAAAATTTGTCAGATCTAATTTGATCCGTGTGTTTAAGTGTTTGTTTAAATGTGGTCTAGTCTTTTCTGGTAAAAGCATGAAATATATTAAATATCTATTTAACTATGATCGAAGTTTACTAGAGTATGATTTATTGAGGTCCAGAATGAGTAGAACAGGTCTAAGTGTGAAATTGTTAATTTATGTTAGTTGATTACTTTTGTGGTTGGTTATGGTGAGTGAAGGAACAGAGTCAAAGTTTCAGTGGCTAAGCAAAACAACAGCATTACCCGATGTCAAAATTTACATGGAGGATTGAAAATTTCTCGCGGCTGGGTGCAGGGGCGGCTTTGAGGGCACTTGGGCCAGGCAACTTCCTTGGACCTCAACTACTAAGGGGGCCTCCAAAAAGTTCTACTCCGGTATTAGTATTAGGTGTTATTCGCAGACCGCCAATACATCAAGCGGCAACTGCAAGCAGAAATCAACTTTATAGTTCACTTTTGACTATTCGTCCTTCATCAAAGTTGTAGCTAAGGAAGTCTTCTATCCAACACAACTTGCAAAACTGGATTTGAATCATCCAATAAAAATATATGAATAAAATGGTGGAAGGTCGCATTCTGAAATCTCAACAGAGATTGACTGACTTCATCGTCTGTTTTCACCTTGCTTCTCTCAGATTCTTACAATGGTGTCTTCATATGATTTGTAGCCCTTAAAGTTGGCTTTCATATGAAACTTGAATCATGTTTTTTGGATGTTCCTAAGAAAAGATATGCTTGAACGATTGACAGAACGTCATCCTGACCGTTGTTTTCAAGCTCTATTCGTCTTCTTTTGATCCCGTAGCCTATTCTAGAGCTCTTTTGTCTTCAAAACTTTGTCTTTAACACCTCACTGATCTCCAATGCTCCTAATCAACTCTAAAATGCTTCTCAACTCGTCCCTATTGCTTCTCAAACACCGGTGCCAGGCTCAAATTCCCTGATTTTGACTCCGAAAATACCAAAACTCGAACCAACGGCCGGTAAATATGACTTGAGCTTAAAATTAAGAGTTATTACACCTTAAAGTTAGGAAAAAACTATCAAAAGCCGATCTCAACACGCATCAACGTCCAACACAGACCGCTAATCGGCTACTGTATATATGCCTCACTGCCCGCCGTCGACATGGGTCCTTGGTTAGTGAATCAACCAAGACTCTTCAGCTCTTCTCTCTGAGTCTCGTTCTTGAAGTCTCTTAATACTTTTGCCTTGTGTTTTGAATAAGTTTGCATTTTAAAATTTATCCTTTTGAATGTTACAAACATTATATCGTGGACTTTGAATATGCTTTTTTTCATAAGGCGATTTTTATTCAATTTATCTGATTTTAAAAGTGATTTGTACTTAGTAAATATTTTTCGTCTGGGGCCTCCAAAATGCTCAAGCCGCCTCTGACTGGGTGGTGGTAACCATTCCTCTGTGATTTTCGTGGTAAATGACTACAAATGGTACGCCCCCAGTCAGATATGTGAAAATGTTAATTCTCTTTTGCAGCAAATTACGTGTAAAGATTTGTTTTACTTTTTTTTTGTATCTGGAGGAAATTACGTTTTTGTCCAAAAGGAAACTCAAAAAATAAGTTGAATCTGTTGGAAAATGTGTTAATAAATTGAATTAAATGGTCATTTTGGGGCAATTTTTTGAATGGGGTCCACTTCTGATTTGGGTCCGGTCAAAGTGGTTTCGGATTGTCCTTGCTACGGGCTACAATTCGATATGTGGTACACTCAAAACGGATAACGGGTGAATGAGAAATTGATTCTCGAAGTTCACTCGTTGAAATATCCACAACAGGTGGCTGCTCTCCGAGCAGGCGGCTCGGCAGTTGGCTGCTCTCCGAGCAGGCGGCTCGGCAATTGGCTGCTCTCCGAGCAGGCGGCTCGGCAGGTGGCTGCTCTCCGAGCAGGCGGCTCGGCAGTTGGCTGCTCTCCGAGCAGGCAACTCGACAGTTGGCTGCTCTCCGAACAGGCGACTCGCGCAGCAGGTTGCTGCTCGACCCTGCTGCTGCCGTTACAAGCCAATAAATGCCCAACGTTCATGCAATTAAATGGACAGTTACAGATCATTCAATGCCAACGTGCTGGACATTGATGTCCAAAGGTAATGTCCATTAAAAACGTAATTAACGCACAACAAATCTTCCCTATAAAAGGCTGGCAGGTGGTTTTCAACAAAAACACAATTCATACACGAACTGCACACTTCTCTAGCTCAAAACCCTCCAGCTTTCTCTGAAAATTTGTTGGTGTTCATACTTGTTCACGTTTGTCGGAACAATTTGTTTGAGTGCTCAAACAATTGTTCATAGTCAGTTAGCTGTGATTGGTAGCGACGAAGGATGCTAACTTAATTGTTCTAACTTTCAATGAAAGCACCAAATGATAGAGTATTAACTCCTAGAGAGAAGTGAGAGTTAGAGAGAAGTGATTTGTTTTAAAGAATTTTCAACCCTTTACATGGCTCCCAATAGGAGTATTTATAAGGAAAATATGAGTTGGGCTCCCAAGTCTCGGGCTTGGGAGGCTCATTACAATATAAGGCCTTTAATAGGCCGGATATAAGAATTTGACTAAGTATAGAAACTGTCCCTGCGGGATCTATCTGGTCGACGGGGGTCTGGCCGAAGAGGGCTCTGGCCGAAGAGGGCTCTGGCCGACGGGGGCTCTGGCCAACGGGGGCTCTGGCCAATGCGGGTGCCAGGCCGAAGAGGTACCCACCCTAGTTAGTTAAATACGGCACGAGAAATAAACGAGGTTTAATACGTACGCGTTTTATTCGGTAACATTAATGAAAAAATGGTCAAAAATACGTTCAAAAAAACGTTGACTTTTAAAAAACGTGTTAATACGTATACATGCATAATACGGTATCTGTTACAAAAATTCGGACAAAAAATACGGGTACTATTTTGAACATTTAAATTATATACTTCACAAAATAACATATATAGTAAAAAGAAATAAAAGTTTACACATATTCAAGTTGCAAATCTCATTACTACATAAAAGAATAATTCTTAATTGCATAAGTCGATGATAAAAATAAAAATAGTAATTAAGTCCAAGATATGATTTTGTAAACAAATGTCAACAAATAAGACATAAAATATAGATTGAGCCTAAGTTAACATGTTTATCTTTATATGATCATCAAATAACACTCAATTTAAATTCATCATTTTCATCAAGATGACGGATGACATATGCGACTGCTACGCACGCTTTTTATTATTTATGTGTAAAAGTTTATACTAAAAAAATGTCAGGTTTAGAACTTTAATTTTGACATGCTTATTTGGAAAAACATCAGAAATCTAATACACTGTAGTATTTTAAGTTTTAGTCTATAAGAATGTTAGCTTTAGCCTCCATGCAATTCATTTTAGTATTTAATAATTGTATTTTAGCAATACAAAAACATGAGGTCACATGGAAGAGCTTTTCTTTTTTCTTTTGAATTATTGTTGATCTCCTATATATTGATTTAATGTGTTCATTCAATTCATCAATTCATGTTTTTATTTTTGTAAATTAAGGGATGCAAGTTTAAGCCGCCATGCAATTGATTTTTGTATTTAATAATTGTATTGTATTTATTAATTTTTGGTTTTACACTATTGTTGATCTCATATGCATTTAATGTGTTTGTTCAATTGATCAATTCATGTTTCTATTTTTAGTAAAATACGAGAAAAATACGTTTTATACGGGAAGTAGGAGTTTTTTTCCTTTTTAAACGGACCGACATTATTTTTCGTTTTAAACGTGTTTTTTTGTTCAAAAAAACGGTACGCGTTTAAAACGCGTTTAAAACGGGAAAAAGCTGACTAGGGTACCCACCTCTGCTTTGGACTCTTGGGCCGTCATCTGAGCACTTTTGGTTCCGGCCGATGGGGTACCATCTGGCCGATGCGACGCCAAGTGATGTCGGTCTTCTATGTTTAATCTTCTGAGTATATAGATCGTGGGGTCTGGACCCATATACTCTTTCGTACATGTGTTATTCCGAGACTTAGAGAAATAAAAATGTGAAGATGGGATTAACATTTCAATCAATGGACTGATTCTATGATCAGACGGTCAGACCAACTCCGGTGGTTCACATTCCGCCATTCCGGTCTGAGACACAAAATTGACGGGAGAAATTCAAAATTCAGCAGCAAACATTCAGATGCCTAGAAGATTCTGTAAGTTACACGTATTATACAAGCACAGATTTGAGGAGTACGAAAATTCCCAAAATTATAAATATAAAAAACTTAATTGATTATTATCATAATACAATACACAAACCCTTTTCCTTCAATCCCTTCATCCCCTGTCCTGTTACAATTCAATGGGGGAGAGATCAGATCTCTTCACGTATGAAGTTACCGGCTGCTCCTTGAACGCCACGCTCCCGAAGAGGAAGAACCCGAGCGCGTGTCCGGCGATGGCAACGAGGAAGACGCCGCCGTTGAAGGACATCACCGCCAGCATCACAATATACGCCAGACCGATTCTGACAACATACACCGCCGTCTGGAGCATCGCCGCGGCCAATCGATTCCCGCAGTCCTCTACGTAGAAGTTGGAATTCGATAACCACTCCACTAGAACCGATAGAGCGAAAACGACGGCCAGAGAGAATATGTACATCCCGTGGTTGCCGTATCCCGGCCATCCGGAGAAGAGGATCTCGGCGTTCTTCCCCCAGAAGAACGTCATGTGCATCAGGTGACTGTGGCCGTGGACGGCGGTGGAGTTCATCCCGTCCATTTTGCAGCAGAAATTTGTGGTGAACAATAAAGATGGGGTTGGGGAGTGAATGAAATGTTGGGGACGAGGAAGAGGAGCTGAAACTCATTAATGAAGGAGTAAATTATTGTACACCCTGTCGGAAGACTTTTGACTTAGTTATGTTCGCCGGATCGAATGTATTCTAGGTTCTGTACTATTTAAAAATTATTTAAAAGCTTCTAATTGAATGTTTGGCATGCCAATTTTTAAGAGTTTTTATAAAAATAAAAGATCTTTTTTGAGATGTTACGGTGAGTAGCATCTCAGATAAGTCAGTAGCATCTAGTATTAATTAGTTTTAACAGTTTGTATACCAAACAAAGTTAAATCAAATAGTCAATTTTTTACTAAACATGTACTGCCTTTTCTTTTTAAGATATTTTCAGTCACTAAAAGCTAACAGTTTCTAAAAAGCTCATAAAAGTATCTTATCAGCTAGTTGTGTCAAACATACCCTTAATAATGTGGTAAGTAATGGTGATTTCAGATATTTTCACTTAATTTGTTCCAATTTTCGATGAGATCCAACCAAATCAAAATTAAACACATTCACGTCAAATTAGATACACAAATAGTGAATGCATTAGTGAAAACAAGTTTGGTGTCAATGTGGTGTCGCTCGTATACTTTCTTTGTCCCATTGCGGAAGATGTGAGCTTGGTGATTAGTGTTGGGTTTAGCCACAATTAGGTTTTAAGGTTGTAATTTGTTGAACAAGTTTTTTAGTAAGGCCAATGAGCGAAAGGAAATGTCTAATACTTCCTCCCTCTACGTCCCTTATAACTTTGCCAACTTTTCTTTTTTAGAAGTCACACTAACTTTACCATTTTCCCTTTTAGGTAAAGAATTTGTGGTTTCAATTAATTCTCTTTCCTCTGTACAAACCTCAACCACACAGTTTTTACATTATTAATCCACGTGACACTTAAACTTGTCAAAGTTTTAAGGGACGAGAGAGAGTATGTCTAATAGTAAGGCCCCTCGTCTCTCTTAATCCTCCCGTCAAGGAGGGTGTACACCGAGTGAATCTTGAAGCGGACATCTTTTTCAAGACCCCAAATAAGAGTACCACATCCACTACTAGGGTGGGGCATGCCTGCTGATGGACTAGAGTTTTAGAGAGTAGGAAGAGTTAGAGAGAGTGATCGGGTATTAATAATTTGCCAACCCCTTACACCTACCCTTGAGGGGGGTATTTATAGAGGAAATGCGTATTGGACTCCCAGACTTGAGCCTGGGAGGGTCAATTACAACGATGGACCACTGAGTGGCTTATATATATGAAGTAAGCTATTCTAATAAGTGTACAACAATGTGAATGATATCTGCTATTTGATCATGGCCGAGGTGATCAGGCCGAGGGGATCTTTACTTGATTGGAGTTGTTGCCTTTGTATCCCAATATCATCGTCTGGAAACTTTTGTGTTGATGGGCCTCGTCTAGTTTAGAGTTTATCTGTAACACCGCCCTCAAGTATTTGTACTTTATCAAATTATGTATTGAACCCTGAGAAATGTATAAAAACATTTTTATGTGATTGTAAATTTTTATCATTTCTTTTACGTGAATAGTAAAATTCACGTGGGGCCCACACCGGATGTGGGGCCGCCCGATATTATCGGGATCACATATTATATTAATCTTGGACTAGATAATACGTATATGGTGGTGGATATCCAAATTGGGCCATGGCAATGACATAAGCTTGACCGGTTGATCAAACGGGGCCAAATTATCAGTATCGACAATTTATCAGATAACAGACCGAAAAAGGGATTTCGGAGACCTCTAAATTAAAGTTGAGGAATACATATTCCGTCTAAGGTCCAATAAGGATCGGGAAAAAGTGCTATATTTTATTTGACCCGGTAAAATAAAATATAATTGAAACGGTCCGGAAAATACAACTTTCGGGACCGATTGTACACCCGTGGACACAAAGGGTTGACCTCCCACATAAGTGGGGGCCAACCCACGTTTTATCCTTTCAGAAGATGAGGGACATCCGCACAAAAACATGATGAAGAGGCGTGGAGTGATTTGGAATCAAAACAAATAAATGAAATGGGACCCCTCCCATACTATTTGGTGAGAAATGCCAAAAAGGCATTCACAATCAGTCCTCAACCCATATGCTCGACCAGACCATCATCCTGGAGGAGAGAAGCTCTGCAAAAACTCCATTTTCATCCATCATACACGCACCAAGCTAGGAGAGGAAAAAGGAAGGGAAGAGAGAAGAGAAAAGAGGAGTTTAGGTGGGAAAACTTGTGTTTAACAAGGTAATGACTCCATAAACCCCATTTCTTGTTCTTCAATCCTCTTATATGATTATTCAATCATATTTAACACCCTAGTATTGTTCTACATGTTTGGAAGTGTAGAATGAGGGGTTGGAAGGTAGTTCTAAGTCCAAGAACGGACTTAGAAGCCAAAGTGACCGGTTCGCCGGAAAATAACCTTTTTGAGGTTATTTGTATTACTATGGGTTTTATGATGATAAAACCTTGTTAGTAACTTGTCTAAGGTATTCAAGGAACTTTCACGGAGTTGAAAGGGTCAACGGAGTTGTCGCCGGAGTTCGTTGAAGTTCGCCGGAGTTTCACCGAAGCTAAATCTGGAAGGCTAGAACTTCATAAGCTTCATTAAGGTGAGAAGACGGATTTATGCTTTATAACTTTTGCGTGAGGCATGAGATTACCTAAAGTAATCAAGGATATGTTTTGTGGAATGATTAAAGATAACCAAGTGTTTGCTTATGCCATGATTATACATAAAACATATTTGAAAAGCATGTTATGTAGGTTTGGTGATTAAAAATGTGATAACTTATCATGTGTGACGATCCAGGGATCCAAAATGGTATTTTTGGATCAAGGACGTCAAGAAGTATATGTGTATAAAATTTCACGTTAATCGGACTCCGTTTGGGTGGTCAAACGGGCGTTGACCGTCAAGTCAACTGCCATACCCGATCGGGTATTGACACATACCTGACCGGGTATTTGCTGAAGAATTGCCCTAGGGGGATACTGCCTCCTATACCCGATCGAGTATGGGTAGATACTCGATCGAGTATACATTGAAAATTAGCTTTGTGGGCTACTGTCTCCTGTACTCGACCAAGTATGGATAGATACTCGATCGAGTATTGGTTTATGCTCAAAACGGGCAGTTTTGAGTAGGTTAACGTGGGCCGTTCAGGTGGGACCCGCCCACGTTGGTTCCTAAGGATTGTTATATGACTATAGGGCTAGGCATTGTCCATAGTTAAATGAATGAAATGTTAGCCATATCCAGGTTAGGATTTGGTAGAGGATAGACTGGGGATTGAGTACCCTTGGACGGTAAATGATCCAGAATACTCCAGGTGGGGTCGAGTACCCTTGGACGGTAAATGATCCAAAATACTCCAGGTGGGGTCGAGTACCCTTGGATGGTAAATGATCCAGAATACTCTAGGTGGGGTCGAGTACCCTTGGACGGTAAATGATCCAGAATACTTCAGGTGGGGCTGAGTACCCTTGGATGGTAAATGATCTTAAATACTCCATGATGGAGTATATGGGTCTAGGCCCCAGGACCCACATACTCAGAGGAACAGAAAGCACATCCGTTACGTGGTGCCTTCGTCGACCAAAGACCCTCGTCGGCCGAAGAGGGGCCGACTCAGAATATGACCCTGAAGCCAGGGAACCAGGGTGTCCTCATCGGCCGTGCCCTCATCGGCCAAAGACCCTCGTCGGCCAGGACCCACGTCGGCCACGGAAGTCTCACAGAACCGGATTTTACACTTATTCATTTATGTAGCCCATCAGTTACTTTGTACTCGGCCCAATAGCGGTCCAGTTGTAAATGGGCCTCCCAAGCCCAAGGCTTGGGAGCCCAGCCCGTATTTTTCCTATAAATACTTCCTCCGGAGGTAGTTATAGGGGTTACAAAATCATTCTATTGAAGCATTACTTGCACTTCTCTCTCTAGCTCTCACTTCTCTCTAGATATATACTCTATCATTTGGTGCTCTCGTTGAGAGCTAGAACAATCAAGTTAGCACCCTTCGTCGCTACCAAGCACAACTAACCACTGATCATAGGAAGAACTAAGTCAAACCACAATCTCATTAGCAAGGCCATCCCTGAGGATCAGGAGACCAGGGAGCATGAGGAGGACGATACTGCCGACCAGGTCGGCGGAGGGGACGTCTTCTAGGAGGCAATCAACCTCACGACGGACCTCCGCAACCAACTCAACGGCGGAGCCCCTGACGCCCGCATCAGCCTGGACAAGAAACGAGCCGAGAAGACAGACCAAGCCCCGGCCCAGCCTATGGCTGTGGCTTCTCCGTCTGTGGATCAGCAGGTCCAGGCCGCGCTGTCGGTCATCATCGCCAGCTTGGCCCAGAACCCCACCGTCCTCAGCGCACTCTTGCCAAGGACTGAGGGGGAACGTCACTCCACCTCCTCAGCCCCAACCGTTGGGGCTGATGGCCCAGGACACGACCTCATAGCACCAGGGGAGGCGCTCGTCGGCCCTCCAGCCTTCGGCCAGGAACTTCGCCACAGCATCATCAGCGGCCTTCACTGCCGCAGCCTCAGCTTCGGCCTTGGCCCTCTCAGCCTCATTTGCCCGCAGACATTCAGCCTCACGGGCACTCTTCTCCTCGGCCAGTTTGGCCAGGGCCTCTTCCTTGGCCGTATCGGCCTCATCAACCTTTCTCTACAAGGCTGCAAAATCATCCCGCAGCCTCCCAAAGCAGCTCATGGCCTCATCGGTCGAGGCTGCCTTCTCTTCAAACTCCTTCAAGCAGACAATCTCCCGCTGCTGCCTCTTATGGCTCTCCATGAGCATAAAGGCACCCTGCAATGGAAAAGGTTATCAGGAAAAAGTGCAAAAATATCAAAGGAAAAAACAACAAGGCTAAGGAAGAAAGGAATTACCTGGACGACAAGGTCCATACCACCGTCGTATATCTTGACATCCCCTAACTTGTCTAGATACACCCGGTCCTTGGCCGGGATGGCCTGAGAGAGGACGTTGTGGCCGTCAACGCCATCATTGAACCCCCCCCCCCCCCCCCCGTCTTTGGGGTATTCAACCTCCAGCTTATATGTGGCCGTGGCCACCTCCTTGCCCGACCGCTTCGGTCGGGAGCCATCAGCAAGGGAGAGGGGTTGAGAACCCTCCCCGGAAAGACCAGAGGTAAGGTCCATAAGGGCGGCCGCAGCACTGGACCCTCTTTCGTCCACAGTTGGGACGGCTAGTATGCCGGCCTCATCGGCAACAACAGATGATGAAGCCTTCTTCGACTTCTTGGCGGGCTGCATGCCGGCCTGAGTCAGCTTCCTCTGAGTTTCCTCCGCTGGCCGTTTCTTCTTCGGCTGAGGAGGGGGCCTTTCCGTAGCATCACCACCGACAGCGGCCTTCGCTGCAGCCTCCTTGGCGGCCAACTCCGCCTTGGCCCTCGCAGCGGCTTTGTTCATCACAGATCGTCGATCCATTACAAAGTCTGCACAACAAACAAACAAGTCAGCAAAATAAAATGACAAAGTAAAATGAGGACGCCGTAGGGGGTATTACCATCAGCTTCGGCAGGAACGCCCAAATCGGGGCCGTCGGCCTCCTCGAAGGTCGTGGTCATCTTCGGCCATAGTTGGAGGTCGTCGTCCTTATCACCATACACGAAGTATCTGAAGAAGCCGATAGCGGTCATCTTGTACTCCGTGATGTAGTCCTTCACACTCCTCGGCCCCCCTCCAAGAAGGCCGCCACCTGAGCATCGAGGATCGAACTCTTGGGAGGGTCATGAAGGGTAAACCTTCCATCATGGCCGACGGAGGGGAACTCCGTGCCACCCTCGCCCAGGGACACGAAGACAAACTTGCTCTTCCAACCTTGTATGGACGAAGGCAAGTCCGTGAACGTCCTCTTATTCGGCAGCTGCTGCAAAGTGGCGTAGCAGGCGCAATTCTTGTGGCTTCCCCGGCCAATCTGGTAGAGATTCATGAAGAGGGCTGTTGTCGGCCTGTAACCCAACTCCGCACAACGAGAAGGAACCCCACCATCAACGAGTAACTATTAGGGGTCAGCAAGGCCGGCGGAAGCCCCACCATGTCCAAGTACTCCTGAATGAAGGGATGGAGGGGAAACCTCAGCCCCTTGGCAAAGCTCATCGGATACACCCCGAAGTATCTCATCGGCGGATTAAGCATGTGGTCTGTCGGCCTAGGCGCCCTGACCCTCCCAAACGGCCCCACATACATCTGTGCGACCAGATAATCAGCGGCACTGCTCTCCGGCTTGATGAGGAAAATGTTGGTAAGGTCCAGGTAAGAGAAGCCTGACCCATTCTTCGGCCGATTATTCCTCTTCGGCCGCGGCAGCCCCTTCACGGCTGACACCGGCTTCGGGCACAGGATGGTAGTAGAGGCGGACGCCCCGTCCACAACGCGAGAGGCCCTTACGTCCTCACCCTCAGATGACGAAGCGGACCTTTCGTCCTCGTCCTCCTCGTCCTCCTCGTCCGCATTTCCCCCGGACTTGTACGGGCTCAGGTGCTCGATCTCTTCGGCGCACTCTTCGATCACAGCATAGTCAAGAGACTTGGCGGAGGGCTCGTCGTCGTACGGGTAATATTCCTCATTTAAGGATTTCATCCTAAACAACTCCTAAGGCACTAAGGGGAACTATTTTAGATCTAAAGTATTTTTGTGACTAACACTGGATCAAGGCCTAGAAGAGCAAAATATGTAAGAAGTAGAAGAACGGATTGAAGAACTAACCTTGAAGTTTTGAAGGGGGTGAAGAACATTCAGCAAGGGTTTTATCTCTCTAAAAAAATTGGGCAGCACTTCGTTACTCAGAATGCAAATGAGGCCTCTCCTCGGAACGGGGAGGGTATTTATAGCCACCCTCCTAACGATAACTACACGTGGCATCACCTTAGTGGCCACACCAACGGCCACCAATGGGATGCCACCATTCTGTCTACAGACCAAACCCCATCCACAAATCAGCGGCCCACCACCGAAGCAGGCCCTACGGATCAAGAAGGGAAAAATAACACCCACAACGGCCAGGCTATTCAACGACCAACACAGTCTACGGCTACCCAGGTAGCACTCGTATCGGCCATTCAAGGGGCCACACATTATGCAAAGGTTTCACAACGGCCACAATACCCCAAAGGAAAGGAACGTAACGGCCATGAGGCCCTCGCACTAAACCCTTGATGATAACCCTTTGAAAGCGACCTGCGTCCAAGGGTTCTCCCACAGGGTTACCTTGGTCAGTAAATCGCCAAAGGGTTGGATCCAAGGGCAGTATGAGGAGCCCGCTTCGGCCTGGGTTTCAATCTACTCCTTCACCCCTCACTCACTCTTCGGCCCGAAGCAGTGGGGGACTGGGGGACTACACCGGCCTCAAGAATAACAAGCAAAATCAAAGAAACCCAAAAAGATACCAAGTCCACAACTACAACATCAGACATGCACCACAACGTCCATAACATCATAGTGCACCTTCGGCCACAGCAAAGCTTGAGATCACAAGACACTTATCGGCCTTGAAACCACATATCACTCGCAAGCCAGGAATCAAGACAAAGGTTAACATACCTAAATCACTGTCGTCTATGAACCGCAACGCCCCCAAAGCCCTCACAACTTCATCCTCGGCCAGACAGTGTTATCATCCCCAAAACCTTGGGTAATATGACGCCTGGTCGTCCAAAAACACAGGGCATCATCAACAACGGCCAAAAGGAATCATAGTACCCTCATCGGCCACCCAAAACGAAGACGCAACCCCTACGGCCTCACCAGCCCAAAAGGGAAACTCACCTAATCAACAACTAAGGATAAACACTACCTTCATCGGCCACTCGGGCCAGGACACTCATCATCCACAAACAAAGCGCACCAAAGGAACAATAGCCTTCCCCGTCCGCATCAAGGGTACGCAACGGCCAAACTCAGAACAGGGCCACCAAACGCCGCGACAGGGAACAACCAACGTGGTCCCGCATCGGCCAAGAAGCATCAAGCACAGAAATCTACTCTCCTTCACTTCGTCTACGTCTCAGCTTAGAGAGTGGGGGACTCCTGATGGAGTATATGGGTCTAGGCCCCAGGACCCACATACTCAGAGGAACAGAAAGCACAGCCGTTATGCGGTGCCCTCGTCGGCCAAAGACCCTCGTCGGCCAAAGAGGGGCCGACTCAGAATATGATCCTGAAGCCAGGGAACCAGGGTGTCCTCATCGGCCGTGCCCTCATCGGCCAAAGACCCTCGTCGTCCAGGACCCACGTCGGCCACGGAAGTCTCACAGAACCGGATTTTACACTTATTCATTTATGTGGCCCATCAGTTACTTTGTACTCGGCCCAATAGCGGTCCAGGTGTAAATGGGCCTCCCAAGCCCAAGGCTTGGGAGCCCAGCCCGTATTTTTCCTATAAATACTTCCTCTGGAGGTAGTTATAGGGGTTACAAAATCATTCTATTGAAGCATTACTTGCACTTCTCTCTCTAGCTCTCACTTCTCTCTAGATATATACTCTATCACTCCAGGTTGGGTTGAGTGCCTTGGACGGTAAATGATCCTAAAACACTCGGTAGTATGAATCGAAGATAGACTATAGCTTGTGAGCTAGGCAACCGGGAAAGGAGCGAGAAAAGTCAGGTAAGAACTTTATCTCTAAAAGACTCTTTAAGGTAAATGACCTAAGGGTTGAGTATTTTACGAGTATATATATAGTATGTATCATCGGGTGGATGAGAGACATCTATATATATGTATCACCCTATTTTTGGGTCTCGTGTCTGAAACATTAGTTATTCTTCATATAGTCTGCTTGTCACTAGTACTTCTATGGAGTACTGACCCCTCCGGGGGCCCTCACATTTTTCAGGTTAAGGCTAGAGTCCTACTACCTGCACCTTTGCCTAGGGTGATCGTCCAAAGAGGAAGACGTGGTTCGTGCTTCCATTCGTATTTGAAATTTATAAACTGCTCATGGATTTTTGAACAATGTTTTCCTTAAAACAGTTGGGGTCTGCGTGCCCGTGTTTGCCATGTGTGGCTAAGTATCAAACATATTATTATTTCCGCATTTGTTTGATTATGATATTGATATTTATTGTATGTGTTTACTAATCGGTTTGGCAATAGAAACAATCGGACGCCTTGTACAATTCAATAGGGGTGAACTGTTGTTGTTCTTATTGGGTTGTACGGCGGTTGTCTACGTGGCTCGGATGCGGTCCGGGGCGTGACATTATCTAAGGTGGCTAGTCCAATAGTTGCAAGGAGATTACAGTATCTTTAATGAGTATGTGTGTCGCGAGCCTTAATGAGTATGTGTGTCGCGAGTTCGAGCTTATATACTCTAAATAGCTACAACCTTCGTCCCTTAAAACTTTGCCAAGTTTGACCGGCATAAGGATTAATAAAGTAAAAACCGTGTGGTTGAGGTTTGTGCAGATGAGAGAAAATTAACTGGAACCACAAATTCTTTACTTAAAAGGGAAAGTGGCAAAGTTAGTGGAACATCCAAAAAAAGAAAGTTGGTAAAGTTTTAAGGGACGGAGGAGTATGAGAATGCATGTAAATGGCTATTATAAAGTTTGAGTTTATAAAAGTACAAGTTGATTTGATGTTTCAAATACACATTACATTTTATGTTTTAATGTATATGGTTGTTGTGTAATTTAATATAATATATATTTAAATAATTGTAATTTAAACATACTCGGGCCCTAAATACCCGGGCTGGGCCCGAACTTCACCAAATTCACCCCAGGATCGGGAGCGGATCCATACCTAGCCCTGGGTGGAGGTTAAACTATCATACGAGTATGTCACCAGTATATCAACATCCACACAGCAGTGGCGAATCTAGGCATCGGAGGTCACTGTATGTATATAAAATTTCAAAATAAAAACATCTTTACAATATGAATACTAGAATACAAAATGTAATTTACATTGTAAAAAAACAATAAATTCGTAATTATTTATTGCTATTTTTCTTTTTAATTACTTCCTCCGCCTCGCTAAGATTGTCCTATTTTACGTTTTCAATTTATCCACTAAGATTGTCTCATACCAAATTTGCTAAATTTTGTGCGTCTCTAAATCATTCTTACTTTATCAATTCAATATCAGCCACATAACACTTTTTTATTGGCTTTTTTATTGGCTCGAGTGTTACTTCCTCTTGTCCTTTTTGACATAAATACATGTATATAAGCGTATACAATTATATTCCTATATTTTACTATCGCTATTTATTTCATTCATGAGAGCAAAAATTAAGATAACGCATCGTGATTTAAATGTTGAATAAATTGGAATACGGAGTATTAGAGAATACAATGTAGACTGTTAAAATACTAATAATGATAATTACAATAAAAATAATCTAATCATTTATATAGAGACGTGGATGACCAAAGCTGCTTGCCTGCTCTTCATAATTTGAAAAAAAAAATGCCAATGGGGCCTAGAATTTGATGCTTTTAGAATATGGGACCTCAAGTCCATCTGTGGCTTCAAGAAGAGGTGTTTGAGAGTTTTACACCTCATCCAAGAGACTCTCAACTTATCAAGAAGATTGCCTTGATTAGAGATCAAATTGTGGCTAAATTTGATAATACCCAAGCTGTCATTGGTTACCTTGAGACTATTTCTACCAATGCTAAGCTTTCCTCTGCCAAAGTGTATGATTTGCTTCGGATTAAGGGGGATGCTCATAGTTGGATGTCCTTCATTTGGAAAAGCTATATCCCCCCAAATTCTCCTTCATGGTTTGGTTAGCTTTTCGCAACAGGTTAGCTACTTTTGATAATTTACGTAGGCTTGATGTTGTTAACATTTGCCCTTTTTGTAAGGGTGGTCCCGAATCGGTACCACACCTATTTTTTGCGTGTGTTTTTGCAGGTAATGTTTGGCAAAAAGTCAAGAGGTGGCTGCAGCTTCCTAGGAGGATGGGCACCTTGCATAGCTCGTTGAATTGGATCAAGAAAGAGAGGCAGGGCTCGGGAATCAAAGCAAAGGCTGCCAGGATCGCTTTTTGCTACACCGTTTACTGGATATGGAGAACCCGGAACGCTACTTGCTTTGATGGCTTGACTCCAAGAGAAGATGATGTTTTTGCCAGAATCCAATATATTACTTACAAGATTCTGTATAGTATCTACCCGTTTGAGCTTGTAAACTTGTAAGCTTTTGCGTAACCTTCACTTCTGTTTTGGTGGAGGTTTTGCTTGTTTGTGCAGTGTGGGATGGCTTGTTTGGCTGTTTTGTGCTTCTCCCTCTCCGTATGGGGTGGGTAGTTGCGTTTTTTGGCAGGCTGTTTTGCTGGTTTTGGGTTGTCCATGACTCCATGTTGTGGACAACTTGCATTTTTGTCTTCTGTTTGTCTGTACATTCTTGAACCCCTTTTTCTTGGGTGTTTCTTTCTTAATATACTTACAGTTCACAAAAAAAAAAAAAGAGCATAGCACTTACTCCGTATAAAACAAAATCATGTGAAGCCTAGGGAAGTTCCCATCCATTGACATGTAACCTAAGAGAGATTTTAATGCTACAACCATATAAGCTAGGAACACTTTTTGAGGTGAAGCTTATGCTTCACCTCATTATAGACTAAGTCAGCCTCTGCCACAAAGAGTTACCTAAAGCTACGATATCAAGAGCTCACTTGTAGTATTATCATTTTCGCTGAGAAAATTTCACAAACTTGTGAGGTGGGGTGGGGGTCATAAAATCTATTAGTTGAAAAAGTATATGTAATTTCTATGTGAAAGTAGTTGAAAGAAGTCATAAAATTAAGGACATTTGGTGCAAATGATGAAATTTTTAATGAGTAAACAATATTGTTTATAGGGATATAGAGTACAACAAAGTTAGTTCGACATTTTGTTGGTTGGAGCTTCACTTGTTGGTTTCTCTAGACAAATCGAACCCAATCTCCGGAAAGTTTTACTCTAAGAAAAAGACACTCACTTATTAAATGGTAAAATTCAAATGTTGCCAAAAAGATCTATTTTTTAAAATTGGCGTATAAAAACAACCCAGAAGCATAACTTTGTAATGATGGTGTTTCCTATTTAAATCTTTCTCATCCGGAATAAATATCAATTCACTGGCGAGAAAATAAAATTGTTGTACGGAGTATATGTTATGTGTAGTATGTCAGGAAGTTAATGAAAAATAATTTATCGCTGTATGTTTTTTTGTGTGTAAATTCACTTGATGTAAAGAGAATACATAGACAATTCACTGTCTAGTAATGTCTGTATGTGCCTATGGTGTGATTATAATTTCACATAAAAAAAGACTACAATTCCCTAAATTACTCGTATGTGAAGACTTGAAATTCAAATGGAAATTAGATTCGAAACAAAAGGCGGTGATTTCAAAGGGACGGGCTACATAGCATTAATGCACCGGAGAAGAAGAAGGAAACAAGTCAACAACCCTCTTGTACAACAATATAAACAATATACTTGATGTGAACTTTCTCGCACTTAAAATAAATGTAACAGTATATGGTATAAGTACGAGTATTGTCTTCACAAGGACGGAAAAAGGGAATTAAGAATTAAAAAAAATCTGCGATTAAAATAATTAAATAAAATACAAACTGTGCGAGATTTGGATTTTTTGGGAAATTAAACTAATGCAATAAAACAAATAAAATAAGGGAAACTACCCTAAATAGGAGTAAGTGAGGTTTGAAATTCAAAAATAGGACTATTATGTTTTTCTTTCCGAAATAGGAGTTGTTACTGCCATGTATGAAAAATACTGCCATTATTGAAAATTACTGTCATTAATTATAATATATACTGCCATATAAAATGCACTGTACTGCAACTATTTGATAGTCACGTTTACAAGATGACAGTAAATACTGACATGTTTTCCTATTTCGGAAATAAAAACATAGTAGTCCTATTTTGGAATTCCAAACTTCATTTACTCCTATTTTGGGAAATCTCCCATAAAATAATGAGTTCTTTCTAATTAATGACTGAAGTAACAGGGACTGATTCCGGGGTAATCAGATTTCTGACGTATCAGGCTCAATCACATGAAAAATATTTAATTCAGCAACGCTGGTCAATACTAAGTTCTTACCGCTCTCACGGCGTAGAGTACAATAATTTAAATCAGACTGGTCTGTCATGCCCCAGATTTCTAAACTATTGCCAAAACGAGCGAGCGTATGACCCCTTAACCGTTACTAATCTCTTAGCGAACGATTAAGTGTGTGTGAAAGTGTCCTAGAATAAATTAGATCTTTCTTAATTTATTCTATGTGCAATTATAATCATAGCGGTCGTTCTAGGTTATAAGAGATATCAATAAATCATTCAAACACAAATTAAATAAAGATCATGCAATTAATCCTTCAAGAAATTAACCCTAGTTCATGATTAACCCCTTCATTAATACCAAATCCCTAATTAAAACTACTCGCAATTCATAATTGAACAATAAACAGAATTGGGACGAAAACAATTAATTGTCATTAATTAAAAACATGAAACTTAAAAATAATCTCAGATTCTTGAATAAAAGCGGAAAAATATTAAATTTTTTGTCCTAGGCCTCTTTCTAAGCTCTCTAACCGTAAAAAGAGGTTTACATTCTGTTTAAATAGAAAACAGATCAATTCGGGCCGAAATAGGACTCCAGGTCGTGCGCTCGGCATGCGGGAAAGGTGCGCTCGGCGAGTGCACCAACGAATTTAATTATTTTCCGTATAGCACCTCCACTCGGCGTGCGCCCGTCAGGCGCTCGCCGAACGCTCTCTCCAGCGACTCCGAATTCATTCCGCTCGGTGTGCAAGTAAGGTCGCGTGGCGAGCGGACCTTTTGTCCAAAATTTCTGAAACTCTACCACCCCGCTTGGTGTGCGGGCGTCGGGCGCTCACCAAGTGAACCTTCTAACTTGAGTTTTTGGGCGTTTTCACCTCTTTCCGCTCGTGATTGCTCTCATGGTCGATTCTTTGACTTTTTTGACTTCAAAACCTTGTCTTTAACACCTTGTTGACCTCCAATGCTGCTAATCAATTCTAAGATGCTTCTCAACTCTTCTCTATAACTTCTCAAATGCCGGTGTCAAGCTTAATTCCCTGAGTTTGACTCTAAAAATGCCAAAAAACACACCAAGACTCGGTAAACTATGAGTTGAGCTAAATATGAGACTTGTGACACCTTTGAGCTAGGGAAACCATCAAAAGCCGATCTCAACATACATCAAATGTGTGTTGAGATACAGACTTATCAATACCAAAGAAGACGACCGACTTGTGATAGTAGGAATTGAAGAAAGCAAGGAGGCAATGGAAGCTATGAATGATGATTTCAAAGAAACGGAGGCAGCAAGTATGAAGGACGATACCAATTCTATTTGTGAGGTGGATATAACCATTGTCGACAGTGTGCTTATTCCCAACAATGTTTTTCGAATTCTGTTGCCTTTTCTATTTGATGTTCGACTTCCAATTAGTCGGTGTCTAGAGAGGGTGGACAATATGAGGGGATCAAGGGAATGAGAAGGCATAGTGCATAGTGTGGTTTTGCTTGGCATAGGGTAGGAAGTAGGTGCAATGTGGTTGAGGGCAATGAGTTGGGTATGTTATATATATGTCCTAGCGACAATCATTTTTTTAAAGACATATGTACTTGATCACATTTAGTTTTTATATTTGATATAAACACGGTATTACACTTTATGAATGATTGTTTTTCGATTGTCAATGTTTTATTCATAATTGTGTTCCCTTGGATTTATGTTGTCAATAAGTAAGTGGGAGCTTATATGATATAACATAAGGTCCTAAAATAGCCCCAATCAATGATCATCAAGAATGAGATATTGATGATATGCGATAAGATTGGTATGTGGACTGCATCATACTTTTAGAAAGTATAGTTGATCTCACGACTATGAGTTCCTGTAATTCATGATGGTCACATAGATATTTTAGATAATATTGGCATACCCACCGAGAAACCATTTGATAAGTTCTATTCATGTGTCTATGGGATTATCGGCGTATAGAGTAGTGTAATAGTTCTCCGACTTGAGGTCAATACGTACTACATGTGCGGAGTGATGTACTTTGACCATGACCAACACTTGCACTCCAATCGGGGTAGATACGGCATGTGTTGGGTGCATCACGAAGCACATGGAGTAGTAGTTGAGCCAAGAAAGGATTCATTCCTCATAATAGATTAAGAGAGAACATTCTACTTCTCATATCTAGATGGATCATAAAGTCATTGGCCAATGCAAAGATATATTCGTTTTGGATATCGAATATGATGATTATGGATCATCTAGAAAGATTGAGAGACATAGACTGAGTTATTGGGATAGACACAATACCATGTTCTAGACTTAGTTGAATGTTCGTTGAATGAAAGGACCGTATCACTATGAGCTCTATATTACAGGGAGTTTGAATAGTCCTCGCAAACGTCCTTATATATTAAGTTTGTTTGGTAAATCGTCTAGGGATTCTACTAAGACCTTAATTTGATTAATGCTTAATATATAAGGCCCTATGGGTCACACAACAAGTGATTATACCTTCCGATTGAATTGTTAGAAGAAATTAAATATTATTAATTGGATTAAACAATATTTAATTAGTAATACTGAAAATAGATTAAATATTGATTAGATTAAACATATTTAATTCATGAAGTTGAAGGAGAGTTCTATTTGATAGAATTAATTAAGTGGAATAAATTAGATTTATTGTACTTAATTAAGATGTATTTATTATTAAATAAAGTTGCTATTTACTTTTATGATTTGGAACTAAAAGGAAAAGAAAAGAAAATAAATAATAATATAGATATAACAAATAGAGAGTGGTGTGCAGCCACTTCTCTATTGTTATTATTATTATTAATTATTTTGTTTTATTCAACTATTTAATTAATAATGAGTTTTGGTCTCAATAGGATTAAAACTCATTAAGGAAGAACACTTTCATTGTGATTGGGAAACTAGTTTAGAACTAGTATAAATACATCATTCTCCTTCATAATTTATTGACCAGTTTTCAGATTCAGTATTACTAGTTTATTTCCCTGCGAAGAGATTTCCTAGCCTTTCTCTTAGGGAGATCTAACCGTTCTTTCGGAAAGGAGAAATCACGTGGATACCAAAGGTCAAGGATTATCACCGCTAGGCTGGAAGATCTGTAAGTTCTAACTCAGATTTACTATTATTGTCATATTTGTTGTTTTGTCATAATCAGGGAAGATCTGTTTGGGAAAATTTTAAACTTCCGCTGCTGTACTTTTGAGGTACGTTACATCAATTTACTAACAGGGTATGGCGAAGTGAAGGTTTTATTGTATTGTGTTTGAAGATGAGGACAATGAAGGTTTGGGCCATCCTTAGAGCATCTCCAATGCTACAATGTGCATGTGCACATGTGGCATGAGAG